TGAACTCGCAGGCGCGCGCTTTCAGGAAATCCTATACACTACTGTTTATGCTCTAAAAACATTCTAAATGACTTCGTTTTGAGTAAATTCTGGATGCTACCCACTCAGGACACTTGGAATACATTGGACGAGCAGTATGGAGGATAATAAGGCACCCGCAGGTAAACATGGATGCGACACTGGCTCAACTGGCAAGCTGCCAACGGAACGAGTCCCCAAAGAAAACAGAACAATAACTCTGCAGTAATCCTTACACTCTGGAATATTCAGCAACACAAGAAGAAGAAATATAGGAACTCATGACCGCTCCCTAGCGGCAGGAAGAATTAAACATTTAATGTGTCTTTTGAGTTCCAGCCTTTTATACACTTTGCCTTTGTTGTCATCAGCTTTTGAACCCGTCCAAGAAGCTACAGTTTTCACTAAGCTGGATCTCAGAAACACTTACCACCTTCTCTGCATCAGGGAGGGAGACGAATGGAAAACGCCTTCAAAACTCCCATTGGACACTTTGAGTACCTGTTAATGCCTTTCGGATTAACTAATGCTCCCGCCTGTTTCCAGGCTTTGGTCAATGATGTTCTGAGAGATTTTTTTAATGTTTTTGTCTATATTGATGACATCCTCATATTTTCCAAGAATCTATCTGAGCACAAGATCCATGTCCGCCAGGTCCTCCAATGCCTGCTCGAAAACATGCTTTTCATAAAAGCAGAAAAGTGTGAATTCCACAGACCATCTGTTTCCTTCCTTGGAATTATCCTTGAAGCCAGACTGGTAAGTATAACCCACTGAAAAAAAAGATTAAAGCCGTTTTGGATTGGCCAACCCCAGAGACCCGTAAGCAGCTCCGACGTTTCCTGGGATTCGCCAACTTCTACAGAAGGTTTCTCCGCAACTACAGTCAAACAGCTCTTCCTCTTACTGCTCTGACTTCCTCCAAGGTTCCCTTTGTGTGGTCCCCTGAGGCTGAAGTAGCCTTCTCCCACCTTAAGAGACTCTTTGCTAATGCTCCCGCTCTCTCTCAGCCAGATCTCTCCAAACAGTGTGTGGTGGAGGTGGACGCCTCAGATTCTGGAGTTGGAGCTGTTCTCTCCCAAGTTTCCGGTACCAATAACAAGCTACACCCATTTTCTCTCGCAGGCTCACTCCAGCGAAAAGAAATTATGATGTGGGTGATCGAGAACTTCAAGCCATTAAACTTGCTCTGGAAGAATGGAGACACTGGCTTGAGGGAGCTGTACACCCGGTTCAGGTTTGGACTGACCACAAAAATCTCTCCTACATACAATCTGCTAAAAGACTCAACCCCCGTCAGTCTCATTGGTCTTTATTCTTCTCCCGGTTCAACCTCTCAATCTCTTTCGCCCTGGCTCTCGGAATGTCAAACCGGATGCACTTTCTAGGCAGTTTTCCCCGGACGAATCTGAAGAGTCGGCTGCTCCCATCCTGCCTCCTAGCTGCTACGTCGCTGCGGTAACCTGGGAGATTGAGGATTTAATCAAACAGGCCCAACAACTGAACCAGATCCTGGCACTGGGCCACCCAACCATATGTATGTACCTACCTCCTTATGAGCCCGAGTTATTAACTGGATGCATTCTTCTAAGTTCTCTGCTCATCCAGGGATAAGCAGAACCGGTACCCAAATAAGTCGTCGTTTTTGGTGGCCCTCCTTGTTGAAGGATGTCAAGGAGTTCGTTTTGGCCTGCCCCACCCGTGCACGTAACAAGCCCTCTCACCAACCACCTTCTGGTCTACTTCAACAGTTACCCATCCTCAAGCGACCCTGGTCTCACATCGCTATCGATTTTGTAACTGGACTCCCCACATCCAAAGGTATGACTACCATCCTCACTATTATAGATCGTTTCTCCAAGGCCTGTCATCTCGTCCCATTGAGAAAACTACCCACTGCCATGCAGACGGCACAGCTTCTTGTAAAACATGTCTTCCATCTTCATGGGATTCCTCAGGACATCCTGTCTGACCACGGCCCGCAGTTCATCTCACAGGTGTGGAGGGGATTTTGCTCGGCGCTTGGGGCCAAGGTCTCTCTCACTTCCGGTTACCACCCTCAATCCAACGGACACGTGGAAAGAATGAATCAGGAGCTAGAAACCACCCCAGATTTCTTTCAGAATCTGAGCCTTTGAACTGAATTCAACTTTTGAGCTGGGTGGAATACGCCCATAATTCTAATGTCTCTACAGCAACTGGTCTATCTCCCTTCGAGATCTCCTTTGGATACCAGCCACCCTTGTTTCCCTCAGAAGAGGCAGACATCGCCGTTCCCTCCGTTCGACAGCACATCCGCCGCTGCCGGACCTTCTGAAACCGGGCCAGGACGGCCCTGGGAGGGACCTCCCAGCAGAATCAACGGTGGACTAATCGTAGGAGGAGAGCTGCCCCTTCCTATCACCCGGGCCAGAAGGTCTGGCTCTGCACTCGTGACATCCCCCTTAAATCCATGTCCAGGAAGATGTCCCCTAAATTCATTGGTCCTTATGAGGTGGAAAGGACCAATCGGGAATCTACTGTTCGTCTCCGCCTTCCGTCCACTCTTCGCATCCATCCCACCTTCCATGTGTCCCAGATCAAGCCTGTCTCGTTGAGTCCTCTGTGCCCACCCGCTGAGCCACCGCTCCCCCCCTTTGTTTTTCTCCCTTCCACCACCAGGAGGCGCCTGGCTCCGGTTCGCCTCCTCACACACCTGCAAGCTGTTGCCTCATCACCGGACTGCTCTTAAGCTGCTGGTTGCCACTACTTCGACGCCAGAGTGTTTGCCAGTTTGGGGTACTCTAGGCAAGCCTTGTTTATGCTGAGTCTAATCTGAGTTTTTGCATTTTGAGTTTTTGTCCTCTAGCCAAGCTGAGATCACATTGAGTTTTACTGAGCGCTTGTTTCTCCCTGAGTCTTAACTTTGTTTGTTCTTTGCCTTTCAGCAGGAAGCCTTCCTGCAAACTGGACCTTTTCGGACCGCCTTCTCCCAAGTGGGATCAGCTGAGTCTTACACTGAGCGACAGATTCCAAACAGGAGGTTTGGATCCAGCTACNCTGCTGGTTGCCACTACTTCGACGCCAGAGTGTTTGCCAGTTTGGGGTACTCTAGGCAAGCCTTGTTTATGCTGAGTCTAATCTGAGTTTTTGCATTTTGAGTTTTTGTTCTCTAGCTAAGCTGAGATCACATTGAGTTTTACTGAGCGCTTGTTTCTCCCTGAGTCTTAACTTTGTTTGTTCTTTGCCTTTCAGCAGGAAGCCTTCCTGCAAACTGGACCTTTTCGGACCGCCTTCTCCCAAGTGGGATCAGCTGAGTCTTACACTGAGCGACAGATTCCAAACAGGAGGTTTGGATCCAGCTACCTTTAAGCACGATCACTCTCTGAGTAAGGAAGTCATCTTCACCACGACCCGTTTAAGTACCACAGGAAAACTGAGTTGCAACCAGCGGCTGCATCATTCCACTCCGTCCGAGTTCTGGGTAAACCCTGTTCCGCCCTCCACAGACTGGAGTCTACGTGTCTCTTCTTCTCTGGAAACCTGAGTGGCAACAAATCCTCTCCTTCAAGATTAACAACTCCAATTTCCCACTGAGCCTGAATCTAACAGTCTGTCTTCCCCTCGTGTTCCAGTTCGGAGGAACTCTGCACTGAACTCAAAATACTCTTCAATAAAACCCGTTCAAACTTTAACTCTGTTTCTCACTGTTTGGCTTCACTGCATGTGGGTCCGAGCTTTAGATAAAATCATGACATCGGCACAGCGCAAATGTGAACACAGGATGTCCATAGAAAAATAAAACAGAAACTCAGCCATCTGCTGGACACAGGCAACACTGCCTTAAAGATACACACTCAAAAGTAATGTAAACAGAAATTAATATTTCAGTGGTAACAATATCATATGTACATGTAGAAAAACTACTTTCCAATCCATTCTGGTCAGCGGAGCAGTGGTTTCTGATGTTGTGTTACATGATCCAGTCTGAAGTATTTTTCATATATTATTAAGTTTCAACAGTTGGAGGACAACATTGCCACTTTTGTGAAGAACGAGTTGAAGAAGATCCAGAGGCTTTTGAGTCCAGGTGATCCAGAATGTTTGGAGAGCCAAAGGGATGAAGAGGAGGTATTGGAAGATGAGGATGAAGAGAAGAGAAGCAGCAGAGAGGCACTTATGAAGATCATAGTGAACTTCCTGAAAATTATGAAGCAGGAGAAGCTGGTTGAATGTCTTTTGAGCAGTAAGTGGATTATTACAAATATGTACCCTGATGGATAAATCACAGATTTACTGATGTCTGAAAAATGTAATCACATTTTTTTCAAATAGTCTTGGGATGATCATGTTCTCTCCTCTCTGATTAAATTTTTTTGTTAATTTAGAATCTCCCAAATTTTGTCAAGACAAACTTAAATCTGGTCTGAAAAAGAGGTTCCAGTCTGTGTTTGAGGGAATCGCTAAAGCAGGAAGTCCAACCCTTCTGAACCAGATCTACACAGAGCTCTACATCACAGAGGGAGGAACTGGAGAGGTCAATGATGAACATGAGGTCAGACAGATTGAAGCAGCATCCAGGAAACCAAACAGACCAGAAACAACAATCAGACCAGAAGACATATTTGGAGACTCATCAGGAGGAGATGAACCAATCAGAACAGTGATGACACAGGGAGTGGCTGGCATTGGGAAAACAGTCTTAACCCAGAAGTTCACTCTGGACTGGGCTGAAGGCAAAGCCCACCAGAACATCCAGTTCATATTTCCATTCACCTTCAGAGAGCTGAATGTGCTGAAAGAGAAAAAGTTCAGTTTGGTGGAACTTGTTCATCACTTCTTCACTGAAACCAAAGAAATCAGCAGCTTTGAAGACTTCCAGGTTCTGATCATCTTGGATGGTCTGGATAAGAGTCGACTTCCTCTGGACTTCACCAACAAGGAGATCCTGACTGATGTTACAGAGTCCACCTCAGTGGATGTTCTGCTGATAAACCTCATCAGGGGGAAACTGCTTCCCTCTGCTCTCCTCTGGATA